AAAAACAAAACACTTGCATCCTCTCAATTATGCCCCTAAGGCTTCAATTCGGTTTTAATAAAGGCTGAATTAAAAGATATTTGGGGATCATTTTTAATTCTGCACTGGATATGAGGTTTTAAGAAGAGAATTGAGTCCAGGAACCCAGGTGTCTGGGAGAATGGTGGTGGCATTCAGTCAGTCATTATTGAGCAACTTCTAGGAGCCAAGCATTATTCTAAGAGCTGAGAATGCAGTGATGAGCAGAAAAAGGGAGAAATCTCTGTCCTCCTGAAGCTTACATTTTGGTGGGAAGAGTCGGGGGGGGGGGGTGGCGAGAAAAGATTGGCAAAAACACAAAAGAATAAGTAAAAATTAGAAGATATAGCTATTCCAGAAGACATAAAGCAGGGAAGGCACACAGTGAGTCCCGGGGTCAGGGGTAGGAGATTGCAGTTGTAAAGAGGATGGTCTCTTCTGAGAAAGTGACATTTAAGCAAAGACTTGAAGGGGGAGAGAAAGCGAAGGCATTGTTATCTTACTGAAATATGCACAGGTGAAAGCTTTCCAGGCAGAAGGGAACAGGGAGTGCAAAATGCCCTGTTCGGGAGACTGGTTGGCATGCTCTAGACTCTTCTGTCCAATAGAGTGCCGCTAGCCACATGTGACTATTTGGATTTAAACTAATTAAACTTAAATGAAATGTAAAATTCAGTTCCTCAGTTTCTACTTGCCACAATTCAAGTACCAACATAAGCTACCATATTGGACAGTGCCTGTATAGAACATGTCCATCATAGAAAGTTCTAGTGGACAGCTTTACTCTAGAAAAAGCAACAAGACCAGGATTGTTGGAGTAATTAAGGGAGTAACAGATGAGGTTAGACTCTAAAGGAGCACAGTTGTGTAAGACTTTGATGGCCATTGTAGGAATTTTGGGTTTTTATTCCAAGTAGGTCAGAAAGTCTGGGGGTTTTATCAGAGAAGTAACTTGATCTGACTTGATATTTAGAAGAATCACTTTGAGATATCTTTGTAGTAATCTAGATGAACGGTGATGGAAGGTAGACGAGGGTGGTTACAGCACAGGTGGTAAAAGGGTTCTTTGTGAATTTCAAAGTAGGTGCCAACCAATTAAACTGGTGAAAAGGTTGTGGGGTATGACATGATGCAGACAATGAAGTCAGGAAAGAGGCCTGTGTTTGGGGCATGGGCGAGGCTCAGGTAGGTTTTAGATTGATTTGACGTTGAGATGACAGTAGCACAACTGAAAATATCTAATGGACAATTGGAGAAGTGAGCACAGATGAGAACACAGCCTTAATATAGATATAAGGTTCGTGGACATACGTGTAAGAGAGAAGCAATAATGGAGACCCAAGGGAAGATTCCTAAAGTCAAAGAACTGCCATTCTTCAAGAGAAGTGGGTAAGGCAAGAAGAGAAATTATTAGAGTCTTAGAAGAATGGTGGTGTCCTCAGTCAAATGCAACAGAGATACTAGATAGCCCAAGAGAAATGATCCCACAGGGAAATAGCCACAAATTTTTTGGAAAAGCATTGGTCTCCAAGAATGCAGTCTTTATAAAGGTGGGGGGAGAGGCTGGGCATGGGAGAGAGATTCTAACTGAAATGCTTTGGTGACAACACAGAAGTGGGATGGACTATGGTCACCGAGAAAGTTAAGTGTAATAAACTTTGGCATTTCTCAGTACTTATGAGCAGTTTCTGAACCAATTATTTAATATGACCCAGACAAATGCTAGTGTCATCTGTGGTAAACATCATCTTGTGACAAACTGAATAGACTTTTAACATTCATAGTTTATTTAAGCCACAGGGCAATAATAAGAGAAAAAGAAAAAAAGAAGGAAAATGCTGTAAGATGTAATAAGAGTACATTTTAATTTTCCTGCAATCTTGATGGGGAAAGAATAGTCACAGAGCTCGTTCTTTAAAAGTGGGCAAAGGTGGTAAACACTGAACCCTAGTAAGGAGGCAAGGAGAAAGCTGTTGGTGTTCTTTGAGCCCTTCCATCATAGGAGCCCTGGTCAAATGGTGAATGGGATAGCCCAGAGCCTCAGGCAGCATCCAGTCGAGTTTCCTGGTAGGATTTCAGAAACAAGCAATTTAAATTTTTTTTTAATTGAGATTGAGGCACCTGGGTGGCTCAGTTGGTTGAGCGGCAGACTAAGCTCAGGTCCTGATCTCGAGGTTCCTGGGTTCTGGCCCGCAATCGGCTCTATGCTGACAGCTCAGAGCCTGGAGCGTGTTTCAGATTCTGTCTCCCTCTGTCTTTCACTCTCCTTCGCTCATGCTCTGTCTCTCTCTCTCTCTCTCTCAAAAGTGAATAAACATTAAAACTTTTTAAATAAATAAATTTACAAAATTGAGAGCTGAAAAAACTCTATAAATCATCTCATGATGACTCACTCATGAGTCATCATGGTTGAATCTCTTCTATTTAACAGGTGAGTTACTGAGACCCAGAGAGGTGAAATTAATTGTCCCAGGTCATTCAGCTAGTTCTATCTAGAGCCAGACCTAGAACTTGCATGGGATGGAGGTAGGGATTGACTCCAGGTCCACAGGTGCCCAGTTCTGTCTGCCTCTCCATTGCACTCGCCATACGAGTGGGACTGTCCTATTTCAGACAGTAAGATAAAATCCACCAAGTGCAACACTGAGTTGTCCTTAACGTGCAGGGAAGATTAACGCAAAGCAGAGCAGGTTTAAGGCTTAATGAGACTTGAAGAGCACCTAAGGGTTTGATGACAGAATATTTGCTTCCTACAAATGTCTTGGCAACGGGCCTCCGAAAGTCTGCCTAAGTGTTGAAACTGGGCCTTACTTGCCATGCTGATGAGCACACAAGTGAAACTCGCAAAGTTGGCAAGTGTCTATTTCACTGACTTCTGGCTAACAACTCCTGGGAGTACTTTTATAAAAATACATTGTGATACAATCCCCAAGTATCCTCAGAGACTTGCGGAAAGGCAGGACGGGGGTGGGGGGCTGGGGTGGGGTGGGGGGTGGGGGTAGTAAAAAAAAAAAGTCATTGGAGTTGGGGGTAGGGAGGTGGATTACTAGCGGAGGGACGGAAAGGAAAGTGGCCGGCTGGAGCGGATCTCTGCGGGACCGCGGGTCTTTCCCGTTGCTAGGGCCGCCAGCGTCCTTGGTTACCGCTGGGTGGAATGCTTTCTACTCCGGAGTCTGCGCTCCGCGGGCCATGCTCCCCAGCGCCCCCTGGCGCCGCGGAGAGAAAAGGTCACCAGCAGACCAGTGCCCGCCCTTCCTTCCCGCGATTCAGGTCCGGGACTGGATCGCAGTTAGGAATCACAACCTCCTGGGCATTGCGAAGCGGCCTCCCCGAGCCAGCCCTAAGAAACCCCGGCCGAAGGTTCTGCAAGGAATCAAAGCCTCCCGGGGCTGTCCCACCCCGACTCACGTTATAGTCCCTCAGCCAGGACTCTAGCTTGTCGTGCATCGATTGTAAAGTTTCGCTCGAGACCAGTTTTCTCAGATTTTCTGCCATCGCTCACTTTTTTCACTCGGCCCGGCTCTGGGAGATGGAGAAGCGGAGGGGACGAGGCGGTGGTCCCTCTGCACGACCGGAGGGGTGATGTGGCCGGAAGGGTGTTATTTTCCTGGAGGGCTCAGAGCGCGGCTGGTTCTTCCATCCTCCCCCTCGGGTCTGACCGGGCAGGATTCGGGAAGCCGGGGGGGAGGTGCCCTAGGCCACAGCCGCCGCGCCTCATGCGCTGCCCAGCGGTCTCCGGGCTCCCGAGCGGCCGACCAGAGCCCCAGCCATAGATACCTGAGCGATTATTAAACAAACTTTGACGTGGGCGGGCAGCTGCTAGGGACGCGCGCCCCGCGCGCCTTGGCAACGCCCCCCTCTGCGCGCAGCGGGGACAGCAAGCCCCACCCAGGGCCCACCCAGCCGCGCTCCCGGCGGTTCCCAGGTCCCGGCACCCGCCCTGTCGCAGCTTCTGCTCCCGCTGCTGCTGCTGCTACCCGAAGGCGAGGCCACCCGAAGTCCCCGAGACTCCGGTGGGCTCGGGGGATGGAGCGGCTAAGACTGCGGACGGCGCCTCCTCCATCCCTTGATGGACTAAGACGCACCCGCAGTGTGGGTTGAAGGTAACCGGAGGCCTCTCGCCTAGAAAAGCAAAGTTTGTTTGTCCATTGACATTTTACTTAGGCAGTAGGAAAGCACCTATTTCACGCCTTCTTTTATTTAACCTCTCAGACTGTGAGTGCTTCATTTGTAACGCTTAGGATTTGGTGAGTCAAGTCGGCGATCTCAAGCTTCAGGATGTTCACCAACTAAAGCTCATCCTCGGGTTTAGGAAAGATTTGGTAATATTTTTAGAGTCGTTGAGTCCTCTAAAGTTTCATTTAATTCTCGTTCTCTAAGTGAAATTTTGTGAAAATTCAGACCAGGTTTGGCACTAGTTCAAAAGGGCACTGTTAAGCCACAAGGATAGTTTCAACTACTTAAGAAATGAACCCATTTCAACCTTCGTTAAAGCACTTTAGAAACCCTTGTATTATATGCATCAAATGATGAGCTGAGTGCAAATGCTCCTTATCCGGTCACAAAACAACAGGATGTCCCGGGCCTCAGCCAGCTACTTTGATTCAGTTCCTTTTCTTTAGGTACTTGAAAATACAAGAACATTGCTCATGTCCCAGGACAGTAATATTCAGAATTTTGCCACCTCTTTTTTTTTTTTTCTTATTTCTCTTAATTACAATGGTTTCCTGTCCTCCAGTAAAAATGAGAGGCTCATTTCTGGAGCCCGTGTTCCTACTATTTTCTGTAGACCACAAAATCATAACTATAGAAGCTCTCATCACAAGAAAAAAAAAAGTGAGCGATGAATGTCAAGTAGATTTATTGTGTTGGTCATTTCACAATATATGCAAATATTGAAGCACTATGCTGTGCCCCTGAAACAAATATAATGTTATATGTTGTTTATATCTCAATAAAAACAAAATAAGGGCTCTATGGGTACATAACACACTTTATCATAGTAGAATAATAATTACTAAAGTAACAGGAAAACAAACCCACTAAATATTCATTAGAAACTTTGTTCCTTTAAAAATATAAGGAAAGAGGAAGGGAATAGAGAAAAATCCCACAAATTTCTTAATTTGGAGCTCATAGCTGCATATTTCAGTAGGCAGTTGAACAGTCCTATTTACTTATTCATAAAAACAAGTTGGGATATTTGCTTATGTCAGATTAGGAGTGAAATCCTCTTCCTGGCTATGGGCTCTTTAACTACTACTCTTTGGTTACATTATCTACAAACAAGGGACAATCATTTTTAATTCATGGGATTATTAGGAGACCCAAATAATTTGTATGAAGTGTTTAACACTGTTCGGCACATACGATAGTTAAGTGCTTCATAAATGCATGATTATGACTACAATGTAGATCACAGTACTATATTTAATAAAGAAAACTAGGTTGGAAACAATTTAAATCTCCAACAACAGAGTAATTGTTGAGCAACTCCTTCAATGAAATGTTGCACGATAGACATCTTGTTACTGAAGAGGGTTGCCTGGGTGGCTCAGTGGGTTAGGCCTCGGACTTTTGGTTTAGGCTCAGGCCATGATCTTGCGTTTCATGAGTTCAAGCCCTGCGTTGGGCTCTGCACTAATAGCGCAAAGGCAGCTTGGGATTCTTTCTCTACCCCTCCCCTGCTCATGCTCTCTGTCTCTCAAAATAAAGAAACATTAGAAAGAAAAAGAAATCTTGTTAATGAAGAACATCTAGGATCTGGGAATTAGCCCTATATAAAGTTTGGTGAAAAAACAGGACACTAAATTATGTATGTGTGTTAAATTATACAGTATACACCCAAAGCATGAATAGAGATTTTAATTTGCTCCTTTATACTTTTCCGGTTTTCTGAACTTCCACCATTAACACTAATTACTTCTGTGAAAATTCATTCAGATGCAGAGTTACCCAAGAATTTTGCCACCTTCAGAACAATGTTAGCTAAAATATCAATATTTAAGCTGATTCAAAACAGAATGCTCTTTGACCAAATTTCCAAGTTACTAATTTAATAGTCTTATAGGGTGTTCGACTGGAATGGATCTTTGAAATCTCTTTAGAATTTGCTACTTGGTATTATTTATCTCTACATACACTCTAGCCCTACAGGTGCGTTCAAGACCCTTATAAGGCCTGCAGTCATTTCATGGACCCCTAGGTTTCCCCAGAACTCTGGAGCATGGGCTGTGTGTAGTAGGAATTTCATGTTTATCAATAACAAAGCCGCAAAGTCATCAATGACCCAAAACAAAGGAAATGTGTTATGTATTTATTCATTAACTACTCCCCACTACATTCAAAAGAGGATCTGAGATAACTTACAGTAAAAGACTTATAGAAATATATATTTTAGTGGAAAAAGCAAATATGCCCCCAATATAAGCCTGTGTACTAAGACTGAGCTTCATTTAACATTTAATCTGTGCCTGTGGAAACCAACACAGAAAGGAAAATGACTTTTATGATTATTATTACTATTTGAGTTTAAAAGTACACAAACCACTTCTTTGAATGGAAACACGTTTTCCTGGTACCAATTCCAAGATATGCTTATCCTTTTCCAAAGAGCCTAGAACAAAACAGATGATGGTGTCTTTCATACCTCCCCCACTTTTTTTTAGAAAATACAGAAGCAGCCTTGATATGATTGTTTCTTGTGGTCACCTTTCTTTGATCGATGCCAAGGGGGAATGCTAGAACACATGTCCTCATAGAGAGGGCCAAGCAATTGACATCCCATTTCTTAGCTCTCTGGTGATGTTCTCTGATACACATTTGGAACTTCCATACCCGTAAGAATAAATGGATATCCTCATAAGTGCCCTTAATAATGATCCCCTCCAGAGAGCTTTTGATGGGTGCTGGATAGCAATCTAAGAGAGAACTAGAGCCTGGGGTGCAAATAGTCCATGTTGCTAATGAAAGAAGAATCCATATGCTTCATATTACAAGGATGCAGACAATAAGATTGAAATTCTATTTTTAAAACCTACTTTTTTATACATATGGAAGAACTATCAGATTAGTAAAGGCTCTATTTAAACAATACTTTGATGCTCTAATTTTGTCCCAATTTGATTATTTTAGGGTATTATCAACTAGGCAATTATTTGGAAAGAAAAAATGAAAATCAGGTTTTTCTTTTGTGGTACACTATCTGGTATCTTGAAGAAGTTGAAAGAACAATAAACTTGGATCATAATGGAAATTCTTGCTTTATCTCAGCCTCTGCCAAATAGTAAGTTTTCTTGTGACTTTACGTAAGTCTTTAATCTCTCTGAGCCCCATTTTTTTCACATTTACATATTGAAAAACATGGATTAGATCAGCTGTAAGATCTCTTGCAGTTCTGACATTCTTTAGTGCTGGTTGTTCTGTTTGTTTCTTTTAACATACTGGTTATGGTTCAAATTGAGCAAATCTCGCCCTTTGTTCCAATTTGTGGTTCACAAGTTCAGTTTGGATCAAGCCTTGATTCAGAGAGCATTTAGTCAGTCACCAAAAGTTGAGCCTTTTTCTTGAGCACAGTTTATTCTGCAGCCTTGCTGGAATCACTAATATACCTAACCTCCGGGAAATAAACAAGGGGTTTATCTATAGTTGCACTTTTAATACATTTAAACCCAACTGAAACTGCCAAAATCTTCCTAAGCCCACCCCCACCACACACACCAGTCTCTCAGAGTTTGTCCAGCTCTTCTTCATGGCTTTCTTTCTTTTACTTGTGGGCATGCTGATATCGCTGCAGTCATCACACTGTTCTAAACATACTTGTCTGACTCCAGTGTAAGCTTTTGAGTTATTTTGTTTTTGTTTTGTTTTTGTTTTTGTTTTTGGAGAAAGAAACAGACCAGGGGTGAGGGAGAGGCAGAGAGAGAGAGGGAGACACAGAATCCGAAGCAGGCTCCAGGCTCTGAGCTATCAGCACAGAGCCCCATGTGGGGCTTAAACTCACGGACCATGAACCGTGAGATCATGACCTGAGCCAAAGTCAGACACTCAACCAATAAGTTTGTGATCTTGTTTAGGTTTTCCTCAGCACAGCAACGGACACATTCTAGACCCTCTATAATAAAGTCTGTCATGCTGAATTGTTAATAAAAAGTGAAAGATGGGCCACCCGAGTGGCTCAGTCGGTTAAGTGTCCGACCTCAGCTCAGGTCATGATCTTGTGGCTTGTGGGTTTGAGCCCCGTGTCGGGCTCTGTGCTGACAGCTCAGAGCCTGGAGCCTGTTTCAGATTCTATATCTCCCTCTCTCTCTGACCCTTCCCTGCTCGCTCTCTCTCTCTCTCTCTCTCTCTCTCAGAAATAAATAAAACATTTTAAAAAATTTAAAAAGTGAAAGAGAGAAAGAAAGAAAGAAAGGGAGAGAGTAAAAGAGAAAGAGAGAAAGGAAGGGAGGGAGAAAGAGAGAGAGGGAGGGGAGAGGAGGGTGGGAGGGAAGGAGGGAGGAGACGATTGGCTACTCTATATCTGATGTCATAATCCCATTGAGGCAGAAGAAAGCAAGTTTAATAGCCAGTTGGTTGTTTTTATGGCATCATAATTCCACCGCCCAGCCAGGAGCCATTTGTTCTAGACAAGTGTCAAGTAATCAATGTCTGGATGGAATAGGCTTTCTAAAAGTCCTTTGTTTTGTCCACTCTAGATTTTGCCTCCATCGGTCAGCTGGGCAGATTTTTCTGCCAACGAGATTCTAAGAAGCTAACGAGAGATTAACCGAAGCCACTCAGTGTAGTGAGAAGCGTGTATGTAATTCCATGCTACACTATATACAAATAAACTACAAGGATATACAGTGGGATCCTCATAATTTCCAGTTCTTCCTCACCCTTAGTTAGTTTGGCTAAGAGAATACTCTGTTCTGCTCTGGCCTGGAGGCTTTCGTAGGCGTCCCTGCTCCCTCTTCTGTGCGCCATGCTATTCGTGTCCTACAGCTATTTGTGTGTTAGGACCTTGCTGCTGCTGCTTCTTTTTTTTTAATGTTTATTTTTATTTTTGAGAGAGCAAGAGAGACAGAGCACAAGTGGGGGAGGGGCAGAGAGAGGGATACAGAATCCAAAGCAGGCTCTGGGCTCCCAGCTGTCAGCACAGAGCCCGATGCGGGACTGGAACCCACGAACCGTGAAGTCAGACACTTAACCAACTGAGCCACCAGGCACCCCAAGGACCTCGCTTCTTTAGGCTGGGACCTGTTACCCTCTGAAGAAAGTCTTTTAACCTTTTCTCACCCACTTGCAAGAAATTTCCTTTAACTGCAGTGTTTACTAATGGCATTGCTAAAGCACTGTCTCTACTCACGGGTAGCAAAACACTCACTTGCCAATTGATTCATTGCTCTCTAATCTGAGCGTTGCCCGTACTCATTTTATCAGCTTCATTTGGTCCTTTTTGTTCTCTGCCATGTAGCAGGAAAGGAAAGATTTAAAAAGAAAAAAGATTTCGCGTGCCCGGGTGGCTCAGTCTGCTGAATGTCTGACTCTATTTTGGCTCAGGTCATGATTTTGGGGTTCATGGGATGGAGCCCACCATTGGGCTCTGCACTGTCATCACAGACATTGGGATTCTCTCTCCCTCTGTTTCTGCCCCCACCCCCACTCACATGTGTCTATGTATGCTCTTTCTAAATAAATAAATAAACTTAAAAAAAAAAGAAAAGAAAAATGGTTTTAAAAGGAAAAAAAAACCACCACCCATTGGAGAAAGAACTAACTGGTTGGGATCCGAGCAGCAGTTTCCCCCAATGGACAGAGGAAGGGATAATTCTTGTTTCGTACCAAGAAGCATGCCTTGCTCACAGCAACAGTTCAAAATTTTTCTGTAAAATTATTCCATGGCCATTATTGGTTAAATTACAAAAACAAGAGGAAATTTTTAATATAGCACAACTGTATCACCTTAGCATCTAAGTAACTCGGAGCATTTGTGGCAAATACAGATCACAAGGGGGGAAAGGGGCGCCTGGGTGGCTCAGTCGGCTCAGCATCCAATGCTTGATTTTGGTACACGTCATCGTCTCACGGGTTCGTGGGCTCGTACCCAGCATCAGGCTCGCTGCTGTTAGCACAGACCCCACTTAGGATCCTCTGTCTCCCTCTCTGCCTGCCCCATGTACATACTCTCTCTCTCAAAAATAAACATTAAAAATTAAAAAAAGAAGAAGGTGGGGAAGCAGATTTAGTGTGATTTTTGAGAGCCACAATACACCCCTCATATCTAACCCAGGTTTCCACTATTATGATGGAAGATGGAGGCATCCTTGTCTTCAGCCTTTTCAGCTCGGCCAGCTAAATGCCATGGCCAATATTTGGCTCTATGAAAATAATGCACTTAGGATACGTTAAGCTGTTGCAAATGTGCATTATGGGTATCATCTACACCGTAAGATGCCCTTAAACATCACAAGAGAGGACCTGAGACAGCAGTGCCTAAAATGAAGGACATTGAAATAGGTTTTCATCACATTTGACCAAAATGTACTGAATTTCTCAGGCAACCAAAACATCTGCATTAATCATAAGGTAGGATTAGACTCAGTCCCTGCTCCCTAGCAACTCACAATCATTTCAGAAGAGAGCTACACAATCATAGTTCAACATGACCAGTTAAAATAATAAATAAAAAATTCTGTGGAAACACTGACTCTTCCTTTGCTTCCTCCTCCAGCCCCCTGAAGAAAGGATCAGAGGAAGTTATGGAAAAGAGTGAGATTTAGAGCCAGCTCTGGAAGATGGAGAGAAGTTCACCGAGAAGAGAAGATGGAACAGAATGGACAGTAGCAAAGAGGAATGAAATTGCATGGAGAGGCAGGGAATGATGAATGCTAGTCCTGCGTGACTGTAGGCTGTTCAGGGAATCAGAGACAAGACTGAAAAGATAGTCCTGGATTCAGCTGTGATAGATCTTATATCTCTGGCTAAAGACGTCGATCATTATTTTGTAGGCAATGGGGAAGCAGCAAAAAGCTGTAAACAGAAAAATGATATGTTTGAGTCTCTTCTTTATATCATCTTGGAGCTCCTAGAAGTGAAGTTTGGGGCACGGCTGCACCCAGAAAGAATGCTTAGGAGACACAGATTTGAGGGTTAATGACCTTCTCTGGAGTAATGCATGGTGAACATTAGCATGGACATATGTCACAGCCACTTATATGCTAGTAATATTTTTTACCCAGTAGGAAAAATTAATCTAATATTCATTCACCAGAGTTATTAAGTACGTATTACGTACTTGGTTCCCAGTGTGTTCAAGATTTGGAGCGCAGAAGTGGTAACCCATTGTCCCTGCTTTGTAATGAACTTATAATCTACTTGGGAGCAAACTATAGATGCATGAAAAGTAAAGCAACACAAAATAGTATATTATTAAGTATCAAAGGGGCATCATAGCAAATTGGTGCAATAACAATTACAAAGAGAGAGCAATAATGATTGGCTGTAATTTTCAGGAGGAAGCGGGACTCAGGTTGGTCTTTTAAAGACAGTTTGAATTTAGGGAGGTATGAATTCATAAATAAAACAGATGGGCAAGTAAATAAAGGCCACTGTAAGGGGATAAATGTGACCATAGAGGCATGCTGAGGATCACACAGAGGGCCACAAAACTCAGAAATTTGTGATGAGGAGAAAGATTACGAAGGGCTTCCCAGAAGAGATATCCCTTGAGCTGAGTTTTGGTGGACAAATAGAAGAGCTAGATGAAATAGGGAAATATCCACACATGCAAACCCACAGAGATACGGAGAACTTGATGCACTCAGGCAAATAGATGGGAACTATAAATACTGTGCAAGGCTGGAGTGAGCAGGGGTTTGTGGAAGAGGCAGGCAATGAGGCTATAAAGAGGCAGACAGGGACCAGAAAGCATGGAAACTTATGTGCTAATATAAGGAATTTAATTTTCATTGTGAAAGTTATTGGAGGATTTTGAAGTCCAGGATGAAGAGTGTCATGATTTCAGAAAGATCAGGGGCACCTGGGTGGCTCAGTCGGTTCAGTATCCAACTCTTGATTTTGGCTCAGGTCACGATCCAGGGTCATGGGATCGAGTCCACACATTGGCCTGCTTAAGATTCTCTCTCTCTCTCTCCCTCTCTCTCTCTCTCTTTCCTTCTGCCCCTCTTCCCAACTTGTGCAGTCTAGAAAAGGAAGAAGAAGGAAGGAAGGAAGGAAGGAAGGAAGGAAGGAAGGAAGGGAGGAAGGGAGGAAGGGAGGAAGGGAGGAAGGAAGGAGAGGAGATGGATCACACTATAAATAGTGTAGAATGACTTTGAATGTTTCTGACTAGATGGCAGCGCCATTCACTAAGGAATTCACAAAGAGCAGATTGAGGGGAAAGATTTTCAGCTCATTTTTTGGATGTGTTGAGCTTGAAGGGTGTGTTAGTTTCCAAAGGGCTACTGTAACACATTACCACAAGTTTGATGGCTTCAAACAACAGAACTTTCTTTCCTCTCAGTTCTGAAGGCTAGAGTTCAGAAATTCAACAGGGCTGGTTCCTTCTGAAAGCTCCCGGGGGGGAATCTGTTCCATGGCCTCTCTCCTAGCTTCTGGTGACAAGTCATGGCATGACTTGCCTTCTAGAAACATTACCCCTCCAATTTGTGCCTCTGTTTTCACATCATCATCTCCTCTGTGTCTCTGTCCTCTCCTCTCCTTTTAAGGCCACCATTCCCGAGATTTAGAGCCCAACCTGAATGCAGGGTGATCACATTTTGAGATCCTTAAGTTAATTATATCTGCAAAGGCCCTATTTCCAAATAACATCATGATTACAGGTACCAGAGATTAAGACTTAGATGTATCTTTGTAGGGGGACACTATTCAATGCATTACAAAATGAATGAAGGGATAACTGACTTCTACACGCAAAAGGAAATGCAGAATTAAAGACTGTGTTATGAAGTAGAGAGAGCAGACTTTAGGTCAGATTGACCTAAGTTCAGTCCAAGCTCTGTATTAGCTGAAAACTCGGTAGGCTTTTAACCTCTATGAGTCTTGATTTCCTCATCTGTAAAATGCGGATAATATGATCTAAACATAAAATTGTCAGGGTAATTGGAGAGACATTCCCAGGCATATGGTAGACTCAAAATGTTATTTACCGGAAGATAACACATTTGGGAATGACCCACATTGATGATGGGGTCCTGTGAGTGCACAGGATCTCTTCAAAGACAATAGCAATTGGCATCAAGAAGAATCGTGAGGTGTCCTGTCAGAGAGATGGAGATCAGCAATGAGGGCTCCCAAGAGAAGGTGATTTTTCAGATAGTCAAAGGGGCATTTGGCATCAAGAAAATTAGTTATCATCATCTAAGTGGAAGAGAGGTTGGCAAAATAAAGGCAGGGCTTCTGGTCTTAGAAACTGGGGTAGCAGGCGGATTTCTAAGACATGAAGTTGCTATGCTAGGCACTACAAAGAAAAGTAAGACACGAACCTTCCAGATAGAGCTCCCCATCTTTCAGGTAACATCAGACAGATAAACAAGATATAATACAATGCAACATAAAGTGCTACAAAGGACAGAACAGTTAATTAAGGGACAGACCAGCAAAACGCCTGTGGGAGCCTGAGGAGGCTTTAGAAAGAATGCGACATTTGAATGGATTCTTGGAGGATGAATAGGAGTGTGCTTGCCAGAGAGAAAAAGAGAAGCTCTCTCCAAGCAGAGAAAAAAGAGGCAAAGCATAGGACGTAAGGACTGTGGCACCAGCACTGGGGACAGGAACTGAGGATCAGCCAAAAGCCCAGTTATCTGAGTTGATAACTCAGCTCTGGGACCAGAGCCAGAGTGTTAAAGACTTAGTGCTGACTCTCAAAGCTTCGGGCTGTAATTTAGGGCTGTCCTAGAGATCTCCGCAGGTCTGAGCAGAGATATAATTCAGCGGTTCTAGCATTTGGAAAAGAAGCTATACAGAGATTGATGACCAGTGAGCTACTGACATCAGCCAAAATCAGGAGAGAAGGGAAAAGTTTATGAGGGATTTATTAGGCGACAGATGATCTAATTTAAACTTAACAGCAATGTTCTGATGTATAGCAAGCAGAGCAGTGAAATAACAGCTCCAGTCATCAAAAAGCAAAACTGACCTAGTTCCTAGAAAAAGAAAGCTTTTGCCAGCTGTTCTCTTTGCTGTCTCCTGCTGACTTAGGCTGCCCTGGGGCCCAAAGGTGCTTTCTAGAAGTGTGTTTCAGCTACCTGAGGAACAGTTCTTACACCTGGGTTGCTACTGCCCTCGCTGCATTTAAAAAAAAAGCAACCAAACAAAAAACAAACAGCAACAACAGCAAACTAAGAGGAATGTTGGATTATACTGACAAGGAACAAGTAATATATACTCAAATCATTTGTACATTTGGGTGGCACGTTCCGGGTGTGCAGTGAATATATTAAATTACGTTCCCCAGACGTATCTCTCGACAACACTGCCTCCATTACTGAATGGAATATCCACCCCCAATACTCCAGAAGAAAAGGTCAGACTTCATAGACCCTCCGAAGATAAGAAGCATCCTTAACGCGATTTTCTTGTAGACGCGTCCTCCTTGTAGACGCTCCGTTTGCAAGACTTTAGTTGGCTAATTGGCAACTTGTTAGCTTCCATGCATATTGTCACCACCCTCCGACCCCCGCGTGCTCTCCAAAACGCCCCTTCCCACCCCGGCCAGGGACACCCCGGGCCATCAATCAAGGAGGGCGGCGCTAGCTCTCCGTGATGGCATCGGAGGGGGAAGGGAGAGGCGCCCTCCTCTCTTGAAGCGCCCTTCGGGTAGAATCCAGAAGCGGCCCGTGATCGCGTGAACACCGGTGCACGGGAAGGCGCTCCGGAGCCACAGGCCTGGGAGAAGGGTGGCGGACCTTGCTCGCAGCCGGGGGACTCCAAACCTCCCTCCGAGGGGCGGGGCTGGGGGGCGGCGAGCGGCGCCTCTCCACTCCCCCCCCCCCCGCCTCCCACGCCAAGGCGCAGGCGCAGGCGCGCGGGGTGCGGCCGCGGCGCGGAGAGCGGCGGCGCTGGGCGCGGGAAGATGGCGGCAGCGGCGGCGGCGGCGGCGGCCGAGCAGGTCTGGGAGCCCCGCCGCGGCTGGGGGTCGGAGGGGCAGGGGAGGCCCGGGTCCTGCCGGCGGGGCCCGCCGCGGGGCTGGCTCGGGGGAGCCGGGACGCGAGGGCGCGCCGGGGCCGGGGGCCGGGCTCCAAGGGGGCGGAGCGGGCGGGAGGAGCTGTCCGCAGCCGGGGATGCTGGCGAGGGTCGGGCGGGACCGCGGGGCTGGGGCTCCGGCTCCGGGCGGAGGAGGGGGAGCAAGTGGCGGCCCTCGGCCAGGCCCCCTGCCCCTCGGCCGAGCTGGGGAGGGGTCGCCGCCTGCGGGGCGCGGAGGCGGCCGTGGCAGGCGCGAGCCTGCGCCAGGACGTGCCGGAGACGTGCCCGGCTCGGTGGCCAAAGAAGATGCGGGTAAAAATAGCCTCACCCCCGAGCCGGGAGGCTTCCCTGACTCCAGCCAAGAAACAGTCAGCTGTTGCCTGGGTGCCGGCTTGCGGCCACTTCTTGTGTCTGCCATCCCCGATGTGCAGACATCAGGTTTCTCCTCCTGTTTTGGCTTTACAGATTGAGTCACCGGTTTAAAACTGCCTCCTGTCCGCTTGGTTTAAATTTTTTTTTTTTATACTTCATCAAATATTTCCTGATCTGCATTATAAACTTGTAACTTGGAGTAGTTCAAAAGGCTATTTTCCTCCCCTAAACAAGCTCTACATATGCATGCACCTACATGGAGGTGTGTGTTACATATACATACCTATCGTTGCTATGGTATTCTGTCATGGTACAAATAATTTTCATAGTCACTTTTCTCCTAAACTGCTATTTCTTTTACAAAACTAGTTTACGATAGTTTTCTTTGAAAAAGTATGATGGCTGGAAGAGTAAATGCGAGTTACCTTGCCAGGATTCTGTTCCCAGAAAAGACCTTCTTAACTAATTGACTGCTTTTAGAGACCCGTTAGATACATATAACCGGAACAGACATGGAAGGTAGAAGACATGAAACCTGCCTTCAAGGGGCTTAAAGTCAGACTGCCATGTAAGTGCAGAAAAATCAGCTAAAGGGGCAAGCTACAGATCTAACAGTATCTAAAGGAATGAGTGAAAGTTAGGGAGACAAAGGTTCCTCGGCTTTCCTGATTTCCCTTCTGATTTATCAGCTCTTGTTTCAGACTGTTCTTTCCTCATCCGCATCACTTATTAACACTCTGGAGTTTCCACCAAGGTTCTAGTCTTGCTTTACCCATAAACTGGGCAATCTCACTTCAGAGTTGAGCATTTATGTCTCCAGCACGAACTGAATTTTCCACAGGCACCCCAAACTCAAAAATGTGCAAAACTGGATTTCCCATCATATTTGCCGTTAAAAGGGCTACAGGGGCCCCTGGGTGGCTCGGTCGGTTAAGCGTCCAACTCTTGGTTTCAGCTCAGGTCAGGATCTTACAGTTCATGAGTTCAAACCCTGCATCGCAGCCAGTCAGTCACCAGGTTCTGTAGTTCTTTGTCGTTGCTGTTGTCTTTTTTTTTTTTTTTATGTTTCTTATTTTGAGAGAGAGACAAAGAGCATGAGTGGGTGAAGGGCAGAGAGAGAGAGAGAGAATCTGCACTGTCAGTGCAGAACCGAACTCAAGGCTTGGTCTCACAAACTGTGAGATCATGACCTGAGCTGAAATCGAGCATCAGAAGCTTAACTGACTGAGCAACCCCCTGCCCAGGTGCCTTGCCATTCTTCCTCTTAATGCCTCTCCCGGCCAAACCTCAGTCAAGCGCTCCTTCGGACTGTTAGATAAACCCGCTGCTGATACCTTCATCTCTAAACCCTGCTGTGGCAGTCCATCTCTTTTTGGCACGTGAATTTGATTTTTCTGTGATGCAAAGCTGGTTACATCACTAACCGATTTTAAATCTTCAGTAGTTCCCCATAGCCTTCAGGATACAGTCCGTTGTTTTGACATGGTGACTTATGTCCATTCATTTACTGGCCCCTACCCACATCTCTCAGCATTTTTTGGCCCCATTTCTGTATTCGTCAATTTCAACTTCCACAGAAACTGCCAAAATTGGATCACACCCAGGTGACTCGGATTCAGAATTTCTATGCTGTTCCCTTTGCCTGGAATACCTTTTTCTGCACTTTTGCCTGGCTGACTCCTAGTTATTCCCCCAAAATTCAGATGAAATCTCAGCCATTCTTAAAAACCTTCACCTGATGCCCCTGCTTGCTAAGTAGAGTTACCTTCCTCTTGTGTACTGTTTCAGTAATGTATTTGCTACCACTGCACTCGCCTTGTTGAACTGCTGTCGTTAGTGACCTGTCTATTGTGCTGGCCTGTGAGGAAGTTTGTTGAGGGCAGGCGCTATGGCTGGCTTGTCTTGGTGGTCTGGGGCATCTGGTATATAGTAGTGACTCTTCAGCACATTATAAATGCATCAAATTGAATATAATAATGTACATGAATTGGCAGAGAAGAGTAAAAAATGCCTCCCGGGAGGGAACAGTTCTGCCCTCTCTCTTATGTAGACCTGTATGCAAGCCCTGACTTTTGGTTGCCCCTCTGGGTCTGTGAAAACTAGAAGGAAGCACACCTTCCTTAAGGTATTCTGCACCTTCAGCCCAAACATTTCCAAAATGCACATTCGGCTCGAAGATGTCTGCAGTGTCAGTGTGCCCTCCTAGATGTTGCACCTCATCCAGACACACAACCTGCACAACCATACACGGCAACCTGTCTTGTGAAAAAAATCTGGTAGTATATTGAGTCATCTTCTATAGAGCCTTCCTTACCGCTTTGTGGGATTAAAAAAAAATTTTTCCCACCGCGTTTACTCACAATGATTATTCCCATCCTTTCACATTTTCCACGAGCCCTTAACCCAGCCTGCTGCCTCAGCCGCCATGATAAGACTCCCATAGCCATCCCCACTCTTTCTTGGCAGATGGCCTTGCGTTTCCATCCCAGAAGAAGAAGATGTGTTCTCTTCTGGGTGTCAGCGGTTTCATTGAAGCCTATTCCTCTGTATCCATTTCTTTCTTGCCTCCTCAAGGGTCTCATTCCCTACGTCATCCTGCCCTACTCTTGACACCTTTGGTCTTTGCCCCTCGTGGCATCTTGCCCTCTGCCGTCAGACGAGTCTTTCCCCAGATTGCACGGCGAGGGGCAGGGAGGGGAGGAAGACGCTGCAACGACGAAAGCACCGTTTTCCTCTGATGGTACATGGTTCTTCAGCTGCGGTCTTCTCTCTTTCCTCTTTTCTCTTTCTGGACTCAAAACTAGATGGCTACATGTGGCATCTCTTCAGACTGTTTCCTGCTTACCCATTTGCTACTCAGGAGTTCATCTCTGAAAGTCACGGAAGCACTTCTTGACAAAGCAAGTTCAGCAACAGTGCACACGCTTGGTTCTCTTACCATTCATTGTAGTCTACGTCTTCCCCTGGAGCTGCACGTTTAAATTGTTCCAAGACTGTCCTCGGCCCTTTGTTCTCTTTCATGTATACTGTTTTTCATAGTAAGTGGATACATTCTTTTTTTTTTTTTAATTTTTATTTATTTCTAGGAGAGAGAGAGAGAGAGAGAGAGAAAGAGACAGCGTGAGCAGGGGAGGGTCAGAGAGAGAGGGAGTCACAGACTGAAACAGGCTCCAGGCTCTGAGCTGGCAGTCAGCACGGAGCCCGACGCGGGGCTCGAACCCACGAACCGTGAGATCATGACCCAAGCGAAAGTCGGATGTTTAACCGACTAAGCCACCCAGGCGCCCCAAGCTGATACATTCTTGGGTTTAATTTACCTCGAGGCTAAGGATCTCACATCTCTGTCTCTAGCCCTGACTGACCTAGTACCCCCTCCCAGCCTTCCCCTTGCCTTTGAGTCATGTGGTTATTTCTCATTCAGTTTAAGTGCAACATAGGTAGAGTCTTCTCCCTCCTTCCTTCCCCATATTTCACCAGTCACCCTTCAGTAAATGTGGGTTCTTTTGAAGCTGGCTGCAAATTCAGTTAACTCTTCTCATGATGTATGTTTTCATTTTTTATTTTATCTTTATTTTTGTATCTTTTCAATCTGTCCTTTTCCATCCCACCTTAGTTCAGGCCCTCATTACCTCTGACCTCCATTATGACAACAGCCCCCGACAACCTACTTTCCTGGTATGCCTGTTTCCTGTCTCCTACCAACACCACACATTTAGGATCCTGAATGTATGTCATTTATGTTCATAAACCTCCAGTGACTCCCAGTCAAACAGAGAGAAGGACTGGAATTTGTACCCAACAGTCCAGGACTTTTCCCAACCTGCCTTACTTTGCAACTTTCTTCTCCCTACATTGCCGGCTCTGACCACCTCCTTCCCGTTTCCCTGAAACAAACTGCAAGCCCCCTTGTGTCTCCTCTCCTTGGACTCCATGGCATGTATTGCCCATCGTATTGATTTTGGCTCCTGAACATACAGGATCCTTTACTGTGTCGCTAACTGCTTTATGTACCCAAATAACATTTGTAACATCTAGACGATAAGGCTCCTGCCCTGTATTTCTTTTGTATCCCTACTTGTGGTATTAGTGTTTAAGCACAAAATGTTTAATGAATGCCTATTCAATAAAGTAAACTGTCTCAGAGCTCTAAAATGTATGCAAGCTGGGCAGTATCCTTTTCTATCTATTTTGTGTGTGTGATGTGTTACCACAAATGTCATTCAGCCATAGTCTAAGTTAAGAGGCTCTCAAACTTTCCGGTCTCAGCTTACTTTTATGCCCTTAAAAGCTACTGAGGATCCCAAAGAACTTTTGTTTATGTGGATTATATCCATTGATATTTATTATATGAGAAATTAAACCAGCGAAAATTTGAAAACACAGGAACATACAAGCACAGATTCCATTGGCTGTTAGAGCAATGATGTCATCACATATCGTTGAGCCTCTGGAAAGCTCCACTGAACATTCACGAAAGAAGGAGAATAAAAACATCTTGGTGTTATTTTGAAAATAGTTTTTACCCCCCAGGTTCCTGAAAGAGTTCAAGGGGCTCCTCCAGGCCACCACCCCCGCATACTTTGAAAACTACTGATCTAACATAATATCTTTAGCCATTTGGGGTCATAAATAGCAAAGTGTGTCAGACTTTCCAAATTCTTTTCCTGTAAGTGAAAAAATATATATAATGAAACAAATTATTATAAGTCATTAATTTAAAAAAAAAATTACCGACTGTGGAATGTGTGTGTCACCTCTTCCCCCAGATGAGCTAGCTGTGTGCTTTAGTGACAATAGGACTATTCAGAAGTGTGTTATCAAGTAGTCACACTAATGGTTCTTCTTTACTAGCCCTCTAAGCAAAGTAATGTCCTGAGTTGGAGCCTGCAACTCAACACCTTAAAGTTTATTTATGGAAACCATAACACTAACCAGTTCGGCTTTCTTTAGGTAGGAAGCTACACTTTATAAGTCAGTGCGTCGTTGAAGGGAGCGGGTACGGCCCTTCCATTGTGTTGTTATTTTGTTTCCAGCAAAGTTCCAATGGTCCCGTAAAGAAGTCCATGCGTGAGAAGGCTGTCGAGAGGAGGAACGTTAATAAGGAGCACAACAGTAATTTTAAAGCCGGATATATTCCAATTGATGAAGATCGCCTCCACAAAACGGGCCTGAGAGGGAGAAAGGGCAATTTAGCCATCTGTGTCATCATCCTCTTGTTCATCCTGGCCGTCATCAATTTAATTGTAAGTATATGCCGCGGAATTGTCTTGTCTTAATTACCATGGGGAACTTTCCAGCGAAATAATGGACTTTGTATAATTTCTTGTTGAAGCCCTCTTACTTTCTGCTTCTCTATACATGTTTTATATCTTAGGGGTTTTTTTAGATGCCCCGTTACCTTTATCATTTGTACAGAGAGCCCCTGGTCTGCTTGCTCTCCAAAATATTATATTACAGAATCCCGTCTTCCCGACTTCACAACCAAGAGCTCATTTTATCAGATGTTTCTTTTTCTGACATATGACTTTGAAAGTCAGCAGGAGATTGCATCTTTTAAATACTTTTAGGAAAGACCCACTGGCCTTTTCATTTTTTATTTATTACCGAAGTGTATTTAGCTCACAGTGTTTTATTAGGATCAGATGTACAACATGGGGTTTGGCAGTTCCGTACATTACTCAGGGCTCACCGTATGTGTGGTCACCATCTGTCACCTTACAACGGTACTACAGTGTTATTGACTGTACTTCTCGTCTCTGTGACTTATTTTATAACTTTAAGTTTGTACCTCTTCTTACAAGAAGTTGTAAGAAGTTGTCAAGTTGTCAACTTGAGTTGTCATAAATGTTACCTAGTATGCTAATATTGCCATGATGAATTTTATTTAGAAGAAAATGTTCATGGAGTATTTTAAAGGACCTAACTTTTGAAAGAGTAAAGTCAACTCGGTAGAAGAGACCTTTGCTACCATGAATTTACTGCCTTCATCTCTCCTAAAAAAATAATAATCCTTTCTGTTTCATTCAGCTTTTCTGACATGAAGTCTTACCTCCTCAGCTAGATTTTAAAATTGTAAACCCTTGTTTGACAGCCAAGGGTTATGTTTTATAGTCTTAAGTCTGTTGTCGAACAATGAAAGGATGTGGTAGGCCAGTTTATGCTAAGGTGCTGACGACCTACTATGTCACCTTTTTCCCAAAACCTGGCTTTTTTAAAGAAGACTTAATCCAAGGTTGTAACTACCTAAGGGTTAAACTTGAAACCCTCTGGCATGTGTGTAGATGACATTTTCAGAGGGTGGTTTTTGGTATCCCTAAGCCACTGGTCGTGAACATGGCCTATAGCAGTTCTAAAGTCAGTGCATTTACTTTATTTTTTACTTCCAGTACTTTTAAGCCAGCCTGTTCTCTTCTGTGTGTATCCAAACCATTTGTGTCTAAAACTTCCCTTACACTGAAAAGAGCTGGTATTATAAATACCTCTATTAAGAGCACATATTCTGAAATTATTTTATCTTATAAATTTATTTTATTAGAAACTCCCGATTAGGATGGCAGAGGGAACACTTTTTTTTTATTCCCATCCCTTTTAAAAAGCTCATCCTAAGACAACAATGTCAAGAAACAGAAATACCTGGAAAGAAAGCAAGAGGCAACTGAAATCCTAAACCATAATACATAAAGACAAAAAAAGTAGGAGGAGAAACAACAAATTACTTATCAAAGAAGAGAAACTGCTTGTGTGTTGAGGAGGGGGCTGCAGGGTGTGTCCATTTAAGTGCCTTGCAGAATGGTCGGGATTGCCCCAGGAACTGGAAATACAAGTACCTTAAAAAGCAGGAGTGAGGCAGGAACTTGTTTGAGAAGTTGTTTGTTTGAAAACAACTTGTTTGAAAAGCTGTAGAAGGAGCCGTGAGATCCCTCGCCTCCCCCCGCCCCTTCCAGCCAGCTGTTAGGCCACTATTGCCTCCTATCCCCACACGGTATTTTATGGAAGGGATGCGACTCTTCCTGCCTGAGGACACCGTTGTGCAGAAGAGGGTAGGGATGGTTTTCCGTCCCGGAAGCAAGGAAGTCTGACTCCTGAGCGCGGAGACTGTTTCCCACTCCCTCTGTCTACTACCCCGGTCCTCTGTCTCCAGCCTCCTGGCACCAGGCACGAGATGAAACCGCCTTCTCTGGAGAAACTGAAGCATCCGGAGAAAAGACCTGTAGATACCGACACTTGTCAGGTCCCAGTGAAAAAGCCACCTCATCTCGTCTATCTCGCCTGTCTACCACAGGCCCACCCCAGACAGAGAACTTTCTATGCACTTACTTAAACCTCACTGCTAAATATGAACACTGAGCCACCAGGGATCAATAGATTTTTTGGAAAGCTCCCAGAACTGAAAAATGATGAAAACTAAAAACACCCAAACCATAGAGAAAATAGGAATTCAGGGAGATAGAGAAAATGTGATGAATGACAGAAAACCTAAAAAAACTAAACTCCGTGTCTTCAGAGAAACAAGAGTATATTGCATCCATGGAATAAGAAGAACATGCCATGAAAAAGGAGTGATTAAAGAATAAGGAAGAACTTGAGAAATACGCAGGGATGGAAGGATGGGTGGATGGAGAGAGAAAGAGAGAGATTGGTAGATAAAGAAAAGGAACCTTTCCAGAAAGTTTAACAAAATTAAAGAATCAATCGAGGAAGTGTAACATTCTGTTAATAGGAGTTTCAGAAAGCGAGAAGAAAGAACACTGAGGAGAAAGTTATCAAATAAATGAACCAAGAAAATTTCTTAGAACAGATTGAAAACCACCATTCTGGGTCCAGTGTTCTGCATAAGGAAGACTCACACCAAGGCCATTACTATAACACTTAATAAAACCAGGGATAAAGAGAAGATCCTCAAATATTCCACAGGAAAAATAACAGATTATGTAGGAAGAATCCAAAATCAGAGGCATTGGACCTCTCAGATGCAGCCCTGGAAACCAGAAAGCAGGGCCTTCAAAATTCAGAGAGAAAATAACACCAAACCTAGAAATGTATGTATCAAGCTAGACTATCAATCAAAGGTGAGGGCTTGTACAGATATTTTTGAACCATGTACAGTCTCAAATCTTACTTCACATAGAGTCTTTCTAAGGAGGCCACTAGAGGAGGTGCTCACCCAAAGAAGTCACTAACTCTCAGAAAGCTGAATAAAAGGATACAGGAAACTGGGGATCTAGCATCGGAGAAAGACAGAAGGAGGTTCCAGTACGGAAGTGAAGGAAAAATGCACAGTTACAGTTGTGTAACAGACCCAGGGGTAACAGTCCAGACTGGAGCAAGGAGATGTGAGTTCCAGCAAGATTTCCTGAGACAGAAAACTAGAACCAGTAGAATAAACTGAGAGGTTTGGGCTTTCAGAACATTTTACTGAGTGACATTTTATAGAAACATCAGAGGCTCTGAAAAGATTCAGTCAGGCTTTCAAAGAAACTCCGCAAACCTGGTCCGACACTAAAGAAAGACAACTGTGAAACTCCAGGAGCCGCAGCGTACAAGAAAGGAAGTGCTCTCTCTTACAGTATTTGGCTTAGGAGTGAAAAATGCTTACGTGCTCGTAATACTGAAAATTCCCAGTATGGATCTAGCCAAAACTTGAGATTGGAGTTGGGGGAGAAGATACAAGATAAATTCTCATCTGGCAAAGTAGGAAATTAATAAATAAAGCCTAAAATTGATGAGGAAAGAAATAACGTGTTCCAGTTACTTAAAAATATGGAATAAATTTTAGATGAAATACCTAAAATTGTTGAAAATGGTTGTCCCTGGACGAGATGTGGAGGGAGCAGAAGCAATAAAAAACTTTTTTTAGCACTTTTTTTTTTTTGACTCTTAGCTGTTTCCCTTGATAAAGATAAAGTTGGTTTCGTTGATAAGTGGGAAGCCAATTAATTTGTTCGTATCACTGATGAGACATTTTGGCAATTATCTTTTCTGTTTTCTAGTTAATGTTACATGTACATGACCTATTAACGGGGGGCCTGTTTCCTTTTTTAGATAACGCTTGTTATCTGGGCGGTGATCCGCATCGGACCGAATGGCTGTGACAGCATGGAGTTCCATGAAAGTGGCCTGCTGCGGTTTAAGCAAGTATCTGACATGGGAGTTATACATCCTCTTTACAAGAGCACAGTAGGAGGAAGGCGAAATGAAAATTTGGTCATTACTGGCAACAACCAGCCTGTAAGTTATCACATCGGTTAAGGGACATTAGAGAAAAATTCTTTATAAAAAACCCAATGTTGATTACTGGAAATGGAATTTTCCTTGAGAGACTATCCATATGCATATTTAATGATATTGTTGGTCTTAGAATCTATTAGTGTAACGTGCTTTCTTAATATCTTAACTTGGTAGCATTTTCTGTGGTAGATTAATTACCATGAGAACACAGAGTGTACTCTCTCTTCCACATGAGGTAACCAGCAAACGAAGCACTTTCCCAGGTCAGAATACCCTCCACTTCCTGGGAGGCTGGAAGAGAATATGCCAGTCTAGCCTGTGGCAGCCCATGCCTAGTGGCTGCTATAACACGAGTTTTCGATGGAACAGAACCTCACGGAGGTGTTCTTACCACCCCCTGCCCATCTTAGGCCTAGGTCGCTATGCCCGGTGACCCATGATTTGTGCAGAGCAGTGTCAGCAAATGAGCATAGAAGCCCTCATTCTAAAGACCTCTTTTCCCAAGTGGACAGGGAGGGGACCGACAGATGCAGTTAAAATTATTTGCAGTTAGGTTCTTTTTATAAAGTGTTTTTGATAATGTTCTTGATGAATTGTGGATGCAGTCTCCTTTGAAATCATACTCATGATAAAGTGTTCTTCTGAAGATTGTTTTTCAGCAAGGGACGACGAAGCTCAGTGTAGAAAAGAACAAAACTTCTATAACGAGTGACATTGGTATGCAGTTTTTTGACCCGAGGACTCAGAATATCTTATTCAGCACAGACTATGAAACTCATGAGTTTCACTTGCCAAGTGGAGTGAAAAGTTTGAATGTTCAAAAAGCATCTACTGAAAGGGTATGATTTCTTTTGTTTGCTTGCTTAATGGAAGAGAATCACTGTCTAAATGTACAAAGTGGGAGGGGAGTTTTGCTGTTTTATAGTGATGTGCGAAGATAAATTCTGGAATGGCGGGAAGGGCTGATTTGTTCCACATTTGTCATCATTATCAAGTCATGTCTCTCTGCCTCAGCACCTATAACACTTGACCACAAACACTGGCCTTTCTTAGTCCATGGTTGAAACTCCAGTCCCTCTGTGTCTGATACTAACTCTCACCTTAATTTAGAAATGCTTCTTATTGCTTTCTTTTTTTAATTTTCAGATTACAAGCAATGCTACCAGTGACTTAAATATAAAAGTTGATGGTCGTGCTATTGTGCGTGGAAATGAAGGTGTATTCATTATGGGCAAAACCATTGAATTTCACATGGGTGGTAATATGGAGTTAAAGGCAGTGAGTATTCCTTAAGAGTTTTAGAGAATTGTTAGATTCTTGGGTACATGAGTCCATATGTGGAACGGTATACAATTAGTAAAAACAGTAATGCAGTTCTATATTTTTTGATATGGAAAGATGTTCAAATTGAACTTTGAAGTGAAAGAAAGTTACAATTTGTGAAGTATCTCATTTTTATTTTTCAAAACATATATATACATTTATAAACACCTGGAAAGGCCTGCCAGAATGTCAGCAGTGGCTGTCTATGGGTAGCAGGCTAACAGATCATTTTAATTTTATTTTTCTTTCTGCCTGCCTATTGTTTTCTAAAAAAAAATTTTTACATTTAATACCTGTATTAGTTTAAAAGGCAAAAATAAATAAATTTTTTAAATTCTGAAAGAATTCTCAAAAGTAGGAATTCTCTAAGTGTCCATTCCCTGAAGTTGTTGGGTTTTTACTTTTTAGTTAAAGATTTTTCACATCCTTTCATGAGTTTTATATCCAGTTATGTGAAAATCAATTAGCACATGGACAAAATGTATTTTACTCACCCATGTATTATTAACTGTAAAGGAAAAGATTTTGCCTTTATTATAGCTGTCGAAATTTTGTGCTTCACAGATTATACCTGAACTTCAGTAAGTAACATATCTCATAAGGGAGCCAGAAGTTCAGAAATGGTTTACCTGCTCACGATTCTGGTCAAAGCGTATTTATTCAGATGTCTTTGCCCACCTGCTATATGCAACTTAACTAAAATTAATTAAAATTATTTTACTAAGCATAGAATAAGACAAAAGTGAGCTTGAACCTAAGGACTTATAAAATAATTCTTTCCTTTTATTTACATTTAATTTCATAGTTCTAGAAAAAATAAGCTTTGGAAAATTAAGTTCTTCCATTTTCATAAATAGCTTTTCTCCCCTAAAGCACATATTCCAATTTTTAAATAATAAAGATGAACATAAAATGTCTTTCTTGCCAGAAACTCAATAGCGATACTGAGTATTTGCATGTATTGTAGTAAGAAGCCATTCCTCTAAGAGAGTAGTGTGGAAGGGGCTGTTGTTCACAGCACTGGAAACTCAAAGAAGCAAGAAGTGTGAGAGATATGTATATAGCCATTAGCATATTACCTGAATCTTTTCGTGTGTCCTGTCTGAAAATTCTAACTGTTGTTAGTATGAGAGATACTAAAATACTTTCAAACACGCATAGACATGTATCAGTTTCTCCACAGTGAAAGAAAGACAAGCCAGGATTGAAAAGATAATTAGCTTTATAATTCAGTTAACATCAGTGGTTAGTTTTTGAGTATATAGCTAATTATTAAAAAGAAAGAAGTTTATTAAAAAAAAACTTATCAAACTGCTTTTAAAGAAGTAACTGCTTTAGTAGTTAAAGGAAAATAAATTAAATGTCCACAAGATGGCGACATTGGAACAAAATTTCAAAATTCATCACATGGATTATATTTATACCATGTGCATACTATCACTAGTCAGTTAGCCATTTCCATTACTTCATAACCAACTTTGTCTTACTGCTTTAAATACCTTGCATAACCTGATGACTCTCACCTCTGGAACTCCTGCTTTAATCTCTCCTCTGAACTAAGACTCACACACCCACCAGCTGCCTTCTTACCTCTCCACTCCAGTACATCATAGGCATCTCAGTTTCACCAGGTCTGAAGTCTTCATATCCTCCACCCTTCCCCAAACATGCCTGTCTTTCAGTGTCCCCATCTTGTTAAACGGTGCCCATTAGTCCATCAGCGAAGCCGCCTGGCTCTACCTCCAAAAGATAAGAGTCTGGCTGCTTCTCACCGCCTCCACTACCACAACCACCAGCAACAACACCCCTCATGGTATAAACCACCCCCGCTTCCTGCTGCACTGTTGGCTGCTTCCACTTCCGCCCCGTGGTCAGTTCTCTGTATAGCGCCAGGAGGACCCTTTCTCAGAGGTCACATCACTTCTGTTTTCAGATCCCTCCAAAAGCTTCCTGTATAATTCAGGGTAAAACCCAAAGTCCATTCCCTTTCCTAACATGTCTGGCTCCTGCTTGTTTCCTTGACTCTTCTTCTACCAGTCGACTCCCTGTGCTCTCTGCTTTAGCCACCCTGGCTTCCGCCTGTCCCTCGAACACCAAGCACAGCCTCACACCGGGGCCTGTGCATGTGTTGTTTCCTCTGCCTGAAGTGCCCTTCCCCACCTGCCCGCCTGGCTTTCTCCCTCATATCACCCAGTTTCCACGGCACTGTGACCTTATCAGAGAGACCTTTCCTGACCACCCTATGCAAACACAGCCCCCGCCCGGTCACTCTCTGTCTCTGCTTACCTTGAGTTATTTTTCTCCACTGATGTTTTATTTGTTTTACCTGTTCATGTATTTATTGTCTGCCCCTCCCCCATTAAAGTGTCAACGGTATGAGAACTTGGACTCGCCTGTCTCTTGACTGCTGTATAAGCACCTAGAATGGTATCTATTCCATATGCCATAGGAGACATTTAATAATTATGTGCTGAGCGAATGAAAAGAAGAAAAGGAAAGACGGGAGGGAGAGGCTTAGGAGGTCCCCAAAAGAAAAGGGCTACATGTTCCTGAAACAGTGGGCCTGAAGAAGCGAACCTCCGGGCAATTTTCTTTGAGTGCCCGGTCTTCAAAATTATCTGGTTCGAATCTTCATTTGTGGCATTGCAAAAACGTGAGAAATCAAAATTAATTTTCTGTAAGAGAAAAACAAGTCTTTTTCTTCTAATCATCAGAACATGCCAATCATCAGTAACTTTGTAAAAAGTCTCTTAGGAAGTAACAAATGAAAATGATCTGAGGCTTTATCAGTATCAGTTTCGTACACTTAGAAATTTGGACATAATTTTAAGAAAGTGCTATAACCACATTGATCTACATTATGAACTATTACTAAGAGGCCACTAGTTGAATCTTGACATTGGTTTTGTTTTCTTTGTTGTTGTTTTGGTCACGACTTTACTGTTTCTTACTACCTGTTTTTCCTGTTAATATTCTAAGTTTTGTTTATTAACTTTGTTCTGTCACTACTTGTGGAGGTAAACAAATCGTATTATGATTCTCCTCCTAGGAGAACAGCATCATCCTAAATGGGACTGTGATGGTTAGCACAACTCGCCTACCTAGTTCCTCCAGTGGAGACCAGTTCGGTTCTGGCGACTGGGTGCGCTACAAGCTCTGTATGTGTGCGGACGGAACTCTCTTCAAAGTACAAGTAACAGGCCAGAACATGGGCTGCCAGATCTCAGACAATCCCTGTGGAAACACTCACTAGAGGAACCCGAGAGGCCACCAATATGTTCATATCTTGACTTGACGTTTTTTTAAGACTGTGCATGCAAATCACGTTTTCAGAGAGTTTGCGGTAACTCTTATTTTATGTCAGAGCACTACTGTATCTATCATATGACCTCCATATTGAAAAGATTCTCGGAGAGCCTAAATATTAACACATTTCATTAAGTTGCACTGATCTTCAAATGACAGTCTCTGAAATAATTATCAGAAGTGAATAAAAGCAAAGTTAATCTCTAAAGAAGTGTTTTTAAAAATCCACTGTTCCTTGTCTAAAGGATAAAGGGCTGAATCAACTGTTTAGACTACTCACTATAAGTAAGCTGTTGGTAACTAATGGAGATACACCCACTTAAGGTGTTTGAAAGGGACACTGTTCATAAATGTTACATGCTCTGTCTTTTGGCTTCAAGAGAAAAGACAGATTTTTGGTGCATTAATTTTCAGCTGTCTTCTCCATGCAAGTGAAGTCATTAAAGAACTTCACACATGTGACCTGGCATGAAACTGTGGTTCCTTAGTTTTGCACTAGGATGAGAATACTCTGTAATAGAATGTTTACTTGTTAAATATTGATAAGTATGACGTGTTCACAGTGTGGTAGAAATTGAAACACCACCTCAGCTTTAACTAGCAAACGATGCTAGCTGTCATCTGCTGCACATCTTACACATCCGCGGCACTGTCCCCGGCATCATGTGTGTGAAATCTCTAATTTTCACCACAGCTCTGCATGTAAGTGTTACCCTTCCAGTTTTACCGATTAGGAAACTGAGGATCAGAACATTTAAGAAATGTCACATAGGAAAGAACAGGGTTGGGATTGGAATTCATATGTGATTCAAACCTAAATGCGCCTGCTTCCAACTCCTGTGTTCTTTTCACTATCTGCACTGAAGTCTTAATTATTTAAAACTCTAGAAAAATGAATGAAGACTAACTCAAACTTAACCTAAGCAGATAAGAATCAACAAAACAGTCATGCTTATTCTGGCTTAAAAAGAAATAAAATGGCCAAACAGCTATCAGGTTTTAAACTCGCTTAAGCCAATTACAAAACGTTGTACTATAGAGAAATCAGGTTAGCATAGGGATGGATTACCCCAGTGTCCTAAGCCTTGACATTTTGGGGTCCCTGAATTGGGGAAAAGGGTTGCTAAGATACTTAGACCCTCCGCCCTCAGGGCAGTGCAGTGAACTGGGAGAGGCCGCGGACCCAGGCAAGCCCTGGTGGCTGGGATGGCTGGGAAGCTTACCCCAGCGTGCCATATAAGTAGTACCCTTGACAGTGTGCACCGGGCCTTGAACAAAGTTGGGGGGCACTGGAGTAAAGGGTGCTGATACAGGAAATAACTTTTAACTAATTTTTGAGTAAGTATGAGACTTGATCTCTACTCATTATTACAGTCCCATTGTAATGTTCTGCAACCCTCAAGCCAGTTGATTCTTAAGGTATGTTATATTTGACTTAAAAGGAACTCTCTGGTATTCATCGCACACACAACATCAGGGACAGAGCTTTCAAAAACAGTTTGCTGTAAAATAAGCAGTAGAGGTGAAGCAGAACCCCCACTCTGCATTCAAGTACAACAGTATTCGGTCATGGTTGCTTTGAACTATGTAGACAAGAAAATCAATACAAAAAACAATTTGCATTCAGTATAATCCAGTTCTCTCCGGCAGGACAACCAAATGCCTTAGAGATTATGACTAGTCATTAAAGTATGTAAGATAGATTGACTTACTATGTAATACCGAGTGCAGTTTTTAAATGAAGGGAAACAATTGAACTTTATGACCTGAGTGTTACTGTTATGATATTCAAATCTTATTTGAATATATTCAGTGTCATTTAATATTTGAGTGATACTCAGAAAAATCTATTGGAATTTTCATTCAGATGCTCAGTGTATTTTTCATTTTACATTCTTGACAGTTTTGTTTAGGTTTTGAAAGTTTCTTTAAATATTTTTACAAAAACCACAAACACTACGTTACGTAGTATTATTTATTGACTATAATTCATGAAATAATCTATTTTTATTCCTCTTTGAGAAATACTTGTGTTTTTGATACATCTCCATTAAGTGCTTTTGATGAGAGGATATTTTAATGTTTTTATAAAAGTGATTGTTAAGGCAACAGGTGTCATATTTTTAGGACATTTTGCAGGTGACCCTTGCCTTTTCATTGAGACGTAGACTGGAAAACTCACCGGAAAGGAAATCAAGAACAAACCGTCCGTTTTACCTGTGCTCTATCGTGCATAATGGGCACAGCTTTAGCTACTCATTCTCACCACCAGATGGAATTTTCCTATAAACCGAAATGTTAGCTCTGTGCTCTCTGCTGGTTGTACCTCCCCTGCACTGAGCACTGATGTGACAGGCAGCCGAGCGGACCCGGTAGAGAGACAAAGACGGGCCCCCACGTGAGGGGGTGGTTCCAGGCTTGTTTCACCACTGTACTGCGGAGACAGGTTACGGTGACAACAGGGACAGATGAAGTGAAAGCAAAGTACTTCAGAAACCGGCCAAGGGGCCGAGAGGAAAATGCAAAACGACACAACCGGTGACTGCCTAGATATGGTTGGCAGGATTTAAAATTAAACTTACTTGTATTCTTTTTGCATTTGAAAAAGCAAATTTTGTGTGATAGTTTTAATGATGAAAGGTGGACGTTCTACCTAGTTTTGAATGAATGCTTTTTAAGAGGGTGAGACTGTTACGGTGCTAACCTTGACAAAAATGAAACCATTGAAATGCTGATCATTTTAGTAGTCTTTTAAACAGTGTTGAGGGGGCAAAGACTTCAAATTATGCCGTACACAGGTAAGTCTGTTCTGTTTTGGATTGCTAACCTGAGTTTCAGCTAATTCAGTTTGTAATAACTATTAACGATCTCTGTGTACAATAAAGATTCTGTACATTGTTTGCTGTTGATTTTTTAATGGTTCAAATTCAGGCGTCTGCTGACTCGTACAAACATGACGGATTTAACTATAGCTTGATAATAAATACATTGGCATGTATGTAATCTCCTTGGAATCCTGGAGTTCATAGTTCGAAGCTGTAGAGTTCCTGTCTGGATAGTCCCGCCCTGTGTGCATTTCAGAACTTCTCTCTAGTGGCTCCTCCCTCGGTGACCCAGGGGAATGCGTGAGCCGTGAGTGTGGCAAGAGGCCAGAGCCTGGATGGTGAAAGGGCCAAGGTTGGCCGTGGGGGCGGGCAGGCAGGCTCCAAGGGCGGGTGGGTGGAGCCTCAGAGGCTCAAGTCTAAGTCCTCACCTGGCTAGATCCAGATAGAGGACTGTTTGCAAACTACCGAAGAGCCAGAAGGTATGCCTTGGAAATGGCCACTGTTGTCTTCTTCCTACGTCTGATCAAACATGCCTTCTTCCGCTTTTGCCTTCTAATTGCTCTAACTTCTTTCTTTCATAGAAGAATGGCCCCTTCAGTTTCTGTTGGACTTTGTTTTTTTCTACTGTCCTCTCCCTCTCTACTGTCACACACTTGCACGCACGCACCCAGTATCTCTAACTGCTTCCTCATACTTAGCCTTGAGTGTGTCCATTTAAAGACTGACATTTTACTGAATTGTTTTCAATTCCAGTTGTTTTTCTGGAGTCCTCTGTGGCTCCTTACCTAACGCATGTAAGTTTGTATGTAGCATATATCATTTTTTTTCTTACAAATTAGCATCTTTCACTTTAAGACCTAAAATTATCCTTATCTAGCTTTTTTGAACTCAAATCTATTAGTTAATACACAAATCTCTTCAACTTAGAACCAGGTCAATGAAAATCTAACTTATGCCCCCGTATTTTTCAATCATGTTTCTCTAATACTGCAAAGTAATGTGCCTGTGAATGATGACTATATTTTTGATTGTTCATATTTGTTACATTAACTTGGTGTACAGTTGTATTTACAATGACTGCAGCTTTGAATATAGAAACAAATACCTTTCTGACTGTACAAATTAATTCAAGTTCTGGTATTGTCTGAGAAGCACATTATAAAAACAAATCACTCCTCCATGCAGTGGGGCACCTTTACGCTTCATGGTCATGCATTCCTGGATATAGGTGCCCTTCAAAAGGTAGGCAAATTGACCTTGAATGAAACCAAAGTTTAAAAGTTACATGTTAAATTTCACTCACTCCATGCACTTAATCATCCAAACAGCATAGTGACAGACTACAGACTATTGAAAATATAAAACATGGGGGGCAGGGGGAGAGATTTATATATGTAGTTCATCTAGTCATTAAAAAATCAAGCTAGAGTTTCTTTTGTAAATTGAGAGAGGGAGAGACACCCTTCTGGAAGCTTACTGTCTTTGGGGGAGTTAACTATCCCATTTTCTTTTAAAAAAAAATTCTGTGTATACATTTGGCCATTGTAATTTGTAGAGGCTTGTTTTGAAATTCTGTTCTCAATCTTTGGTGGAAAAGAAACTTGATGTTTCTATATCTTATTACATCTTCGTAGTTCTGATGCATAACATCCTTTTTATAACCCATTTTGTTTATGTTGCATCTAAATAATTTCAAAAGAATTTGAAAAGCCACAAACAATTTCATTTTAAAAAAAATCAAGAGTCTCCTTTGTGAGTTGAACTTCCATCCATACAGTTCATAGTTTCGTGTAACTGGATGGCATGTTACTCACATAATAAACCACGTAGCTGATTACAGGTTGTAGATAAGGTAACAGACTTTGCTCAGTACTAATGACCAGCAAGAAAACACAAGTCTTGAATCTTGGTAGGTTTCCTTCACTCTGAAGAAAACTGCAGGCTGAATGTTCCTGGAAAAACAGACACAGAGGTAAGCCCAAGTGAATATGTATTTTCTGAAAAATCAGGGGAGTTCCTTCTTTAAAATGTCACATAAATGTAATTGTAGACTATTATTATACCATTTTTAGCTATCTTTTTAAAGCCCCAATTTCTCAGAAATCAAACATCCACTTAAATTGGCAATCAAGGCACCCTAATTTTCCTAAATCTTAAATTGAAAATTGAATTTTCTGTTTATTCACTGTTAATTTTTACATATGTTATTTTGAATAAGTCAATTCATTTTCCTTCCCCTAGGCATTATGAAAAACCTACATTTCAGAGTCGTAACAATGCTAATAGGTCTTCTTTTTACTGGAACAATGACAAGCCCATCAAGGAAGAGCAGTATTTCATTCGATTCTGAGTGCCAGCGAAAGGGGTATCTCCTGACAAATTGTTCTTTTACTGGAAAGCATGATACACCTGTAGACAGACCACAGACAGCAGCCACAGTGGACACAAGTGCCAATTTCTTTAGGGCTCTCTTACAGTCTCACATAAAAAAAGAAGACTGCAGTATAAAACATCTGGACCTCAGTAACCATCTCATTTCACAAATCACCTTAAGCCCCCTTGCACACTTCCATGTTCTGGAAATACTAAACCTCAGCAACAATTCCATCAGCTCCTTCTCGTTGGATCTGCCTAGTCTTACGTCACCGAGGTGGAAGTGCCACAGAAGCAGCTTGAGACATGGGCTTCCATTTCTAAAGTTGTTAATTCTTCAAAGAAACAAGCTCAGTGACATTCCCAAGGGTAAGTACAACTTTAAAGATGGACTAGACCCAGAAACCATGAGTACGTGGAGGGTTAATGTTTTGCTCATTAGATTTCCATGTTTGTTTTCGGTTTTGAGGAAATAGCTGAAATTTTATCAGAAGAAATAGATGAGCTCCTTAGTGGAATTTCAAGTTATAATATGTGGAATTCATAGTCAATGCAATTTAATCTCCTATTATTATAACTGACATTAATATAATGTAGATTTGTTGAGAGACACTAGGAAGTATGTAAGTGCTAAATAAGAATGCATAAATTTTAATTACTTTGATTATCATATATTTGTTACTAAATATAGAAAAGCACTAAGAAATAACTAGTTCATATACTTTCAATATATCGCATAATTCAAATTAAGTATGTTGCCATATTTGTAATTTTTCTTTTCTTAGAACACATTTTGTATCTGTCTAGTTGCCCTCCAAATGTAGACTAGAAATATGCTAATATTATATGATCAATATGTAAACTTTGTTATTGTCAAATCAAAATCAGAATTCTTTTTTAAAAGTTTTTAAGGTTTATTTATTCCTGAGAGATAGAGAGAGAGAGTATGAACAGGGGAGGGGCAGAGAGAGAGGGAGATACAGAATCCAAAGCAGGCTCCAGGCTTGGAACTCAGCACAGAGCCCGATGCGGGGCTCGAACCCACAAACTGTGAGATCATGACCTGAGCCAAAGTTGGACACTTAACTGACTAAGCCACCCACGTGCCCCCCCCAAAATCAGAAATCTTTATACTGGTTTCTAACAGAATACGCCACATACCCTGCTGTTATAATAAATTTTCATCCATTCTGATATTCAGTAGTCTAGATGTTGGAGCCCTTTAAGTAATCACCAATATTTTAATAAGAAAATGTGTCAGATTTATAATCCCTAGCTTCCTTTGTGATTTTTTATATTCAGGAGTGCTACACAATTTCTTTCCCTTGTTTGTTTTTAGCCTTGGTCATTGTTTGCTAAGTACTTACCTTTATATGAGACACTATATTAAAAAAAAAAAAAGTGTAAGGATATTGTCACTTTTTTTCGTCCCCAAATTATGCATATTTAGTTTTTCTCATTTTCAGTTCTTTCATATTTTTAGTGTTTTGCTCTTCTTCCAGCTTCTGGTCGGTTTTAAGCATCATTTTGACAATAATAGGCTGGCAGGTGAAGGAACAATTATTCCAGCCACCATTTCAACAGAATTGCGTGAGAAGAGGGAGGAGTCTTCTCTCCCTAAGCTTTTCCATAAAAGCAATGTGCAGGATTTTCAGTGTAAAGTATAAAGTAACTGCATCTTATTTTATAATTTTTTGTATTATTATTTTAAAAATCCTATTATTTGTAGAACATTAGGAATTAAAAATTTTTTGAACTGAAGACCCTCATGTAATACAGTTGATCCTTGAACAATGCAGTTTGAACTATGCAGGCCCACTTATACATGGGTTTTTTAATATATAAATACAGTAGAGTACTGTAAATATACTATTTCTTCTTTATGGTTTTCTTAAGAACATTTTCTTTTCTCTAGATTACTTTATTGTAGGAATATAGTATATAATACATATGACATACAAAATATTTAATTGACTTTCTTTTATGGGTAAGGCTTCCAGTCAACGATAGGCTTTTAGTAGTTTTGGGGAAGTCAAAGTTATATATAAACTTTTTATTGTGCAGGGGGGTCAGCACCCCTAAATCCTATGTTGTTCAAGGGTCAACTGTATATATTCTTTCAGTTTTTTCTTTACGCCTATGTACATATTTTTCTTTCAAAGTTGGATCATACTTTGCATACTATTTTGTTATTCATGGTTTCGTATCACAGTATATTTTGAACATCTTTATATAATTAAGAAATCTCATAAATAATATTTTAATAATCAGAATAGCTTTTATGTGTATATATGTTATAATTGGATTAATCAAACAATATTTAGACTATTTCCATTTTGTATGCTATAACTCTTTGATGATCATTATAGCTATACATATCCATCCATATGATATAGTATATTTTTTAACTAGTATGATAGATGTGAATTTCAACCCCACAAATTCAAATATACTAACCTTCTACTCTCTATAAGTCAACATAATTTTTTATTCTGAGCCCCGATTCAGCTGGGGATGGGATATGGAGATACTTGTACTTGACATTAGTCTTTCATGGGCTTTTCTCTGCTTTTCTCCAAATTTGTACCACAGTTCTATCTAGAATCTAATACCCTGACAAGGCATCAAAGTGTGTGTGTGTGTGTGTGTGTGTGTGTGTGTGTGTGTGTGTGTGTATCCCTTACTCCTGTCAGCCAGAAAACATTACTTTTAAATTTTTTCAATTTAGAGAAAATTCTTCCCACTTTTTTTTTTAAACCCTCTGCCTAGGGGCACCTGGGTGGCTCAGTCCGGTGAGCATCCAACTGTTGATTTTGGCTCAGGTCATGATCTCATAGTTCATGAGTTCAAGCCCTGCATTGGGCTCTGCACTGACACCATGGAGTCTGCTTGGGGTTCTCTGTCTCCCTCTCTGCCTCTCCCTTCCCCCCCCCCCCCGCTCTTGCTCTCTCTCAAAATAAACAAACAAACAAACTTTAAAGAAAAACACAATGACTTCTATCTAAATCTAGAAATTCCTTTCCTCTAAAGATTTAGGCCTTTAGAAAACAAAAACCAGAAAGACCTGTAGACTCTTCTGCTTTCTGCCTCCCACTGTGGCTCCCTGGGGTAATTAACACAGAACCTTCTTTCTGCTTGAATGGGGAGAAATGGAAAGACAGAAATAAAGATAAAAGATTAATATGTCAAAATATTATCCCACCACAGAACATATGAATTCCCCAAAGCTAATTGGAGGTTGGAGGGAATACAATTCCATTTAGGACCAAACACCCCTATAAAATGCACATACAGCCCCATCTTCCTTTTCCAAGTTGAACTCCTGCCTCCCAAAATACCAGGAAAAATATTAAACTTGCAAAGGAAGGAAAAAATGTGAAATGAGCAAATCCTGTGCCTGAGTTTCTATTAGATTCTAGCAAATGATACCATAGAGAGATTAATGAAACCAATAGATGACAGAAGACCAATGTAAGCCCTGAATCTAATTAGATATAATTCAGAGTTCTTTTATCCATAGCATTTTATGATTTGAATGATTTTGCCACCATCGTCATACATTTCATTTGAGTCCCTGTAACATCTTTTTGCCGTTCTAGGATCCTGTAACTGTGGTTTAGTCACTCTGTCTTTGAAATTCTATTTTGGGGAGAAAAAGCGGGTAACTGAGAGGTACTGCCTGGAGAACTATTCTATTTCTGACCTTCCTTTTGTTCTTTTTTGATTCCTTCATTCTAACCCTGTTTAAAGGTAACATTTGGGAGTGCCTGGCTGACCCCGTCAGTAGAGCATGCCATTCTTGATTTTGGGGTTGTAAGTTTGAGCCCTACATTGGGGACAGAGTTTACTTAAAAAAATTTTTTTAAGGTAACATCTGGATAGTGTAACATTTACTCATAGAATTGTTGTGAGGACTAAAGGAAAAATGTATTTCCAGAGCCTAACTTAGCATGGTATTTGGCATCATAAATGGTAGCTATTAGAATATGTGAAAAGTACTTTGTATACTTGCAAAGTACTTTGCAAATATTAGTTATTTTTACTCTCTTGGCACAAGCTGAGAATAGCAGTCTATTTGGAAACAAATTGTAATTATAAATTCCATTTCGTCTAAATCGCAAGCTATCTTTTAAAATGTTAAATAACTATTGTAGTAGATAGAACTCCAGCCCACTATAATTCACAAGCAGAGAATCATTCGTGTTTAACTATTTATGTAGGTGCTTGCACTCATCTAAGACAATAATAAATTAGAGGTTCTCAGAAAGTAGCAATCAAGCAACTGGCCTCGAACCACATGCGTACTTTTATAAAGCGTGTCCCACGACTTAAAATGGTGAGAGTTTATACAATGAACAAAAGGTTGCTTTCAGGAAAGCCCACCTTTGTAGGAGTGACAGGTCACACTGACTGACCCAGTGTCAACCCATCCCCTCTCTTCAGAATCAGCTGTGATCGCCAACAAGTCAGTTGTGTCACCAACAAGCTTCATGCTGGCAAAACACCCAGAGGAGGTGCCAGCCAATGCAACTTACAGAACAGTAGCTAGCCGTGACTTTAACCTTACTAATGATGCCACCGTCCTTCCATATTTTTGGAGTACAGCATTAATAGCAGAAAAATCCGTTTTAAAACATTGACGACAATGGAATCAGTCTCCAGGTATGCTACCTCACCTTCATCAAGTGACTGGGGTGCCTGGAAATGGCTAAGGGCCAACATCTTACTGGAATTCCAACTAGGTTGACAGACCAGATTTGACAGCCTGACATTAATACACTACATTCCAGAATCCAAGAGATAAATGTGTTACAATGAGATGAAATAATATCTGACGTTTGATACTGGTGGCAAACAAACAAACATAACCAGTGTATGGTAAAAACAGAAGTATGTTGTATTCTTTAAATTTTTTTTTAATGTTTATTTTTGAGAGACAGAGAGACAGAGCATGGGCGGGGGAGGGGCAGAGAGAAAGGGGGACACAGAATCCGAAGCCGGCTCCAGACTCTGAGCTGTCAGCACAGAGCCCGATACAGGGCTTGAACTCACGGATTGTGAGATCATAATCTGAGCTGAAGTCAGATGCTCAAACTGCTGAGCCACCTAAGCACCGCATGTATTCTTTCAATTTTTAGGGAATTAAATTTCCTGATTGCTATTGGATTATGGAGATGCCAACAACCTGTATTCTTAAAACCAAGTCAGGTCCTAAAATTTAAAGAAAAGGAAACGTATGTCATTAAGCTAAGAGGGCAAGGTCTTTGGCTCATGTATATAAAATAGACCGTATTGAGAGCTGAACTTATAAATCAATATCTTGTCTAGGACTCTTCCAGATTCTTCCAACTCTTAATACTCTTTGAACT